AAGGGGTTGTCTGCCCCTCCGATCTGCCCATCCCTGGGGTTCAGGGTCTTGGCCTCTCAGCCCTGCCGAGATGCAGGAGGGGACTGACTGGGGTCTCATGGTGATTCCTTACCAGCATGGATCACGGTTGGTAGCACGTGCGGCTTTGACCCAAACGATCCCCCGCCATGGGGCTGTTGGGTTCTTGTCCCAAAGCTTTCAAGTATCCCCCAGGCTGCTCCAACGCATGTTGGCTTTTCCCTGCATGGCATCTTCCCTGGTAGGGCTCAGCAGTGACACGAGGGTGCTTTCTATTCCAGCTGGCAGCGGGGCGACCAGCCAAGGGCAGGACCAGCGGCAGGAGGGGCACTCGGACACACCGGTGAAATCGGAGGAGGAGGCATCCCCACGGAGCCTCCAGGCACAGGGTGCAGCCCAGAGCAACCCAGTGCCACCCACCATCACCCGGGTGGAGAAATCCACCCAGTGCGGGAGGGACTTCGGCCTCTTCAAGGGCTTCGTCCTGCAGGGTGGGGAGAAGCCATTTGCCTGCGGGGAGTGCGGGAAGAGCTTCCGGCTGAAGGGCAACTTCGCGAAGCACCTGCGGAGCCACGCCAAGGTGCGTCCCTACCAGTGCACCGAGTGCGAGAAGAGCTTCAACTGCCAGTCGGAGCTGCGGCGGCACCAGATGATCCACCGTGGGGAGAAGCCGTACCCGTGTGGCGAGTGCGAGAAGCGCTACAGCCGCAAGGTCTACCTGCTCAACCACTTGCGCGTGCACACAGGCGAGCGCCCCTTTCCCTGCCCGGACTGTGGCAAGCGCTTCCGCCAGAAGGCCGTGCTCGTCTCCCACCAGCGCCTGCACACCGGGGAACGCCCCTACCGCTGCGGCCAGTGCGGGAAGAGCTTCACGCAGCAGTCCAAGCTCACCAACCACTACCGCACCCACACAGGCGAGCGCCCCTACAAGTGCAGCCAGTGCGACAACAGCTTCAGCGAGAAGTCCAAGCTCAACAGCCACTACCGCGTGCACACGGGGGAGCGGCCCTACAAGTGCGCCCAGTGCGACAAGAGCTACTGCCGCAAGGAGTACCTGCTCAACCACCAGCGCCTGCACACGGGGGAGCGGCCCTTCCAGTGCCCCGACTGCGGCCGCAGCTTCATGCTCAAGAGGAGCTTCGTCAAGCACCAGCGCAACCATGCCAAAGAGCGGGGCGGCCCGGTGGAGCCCCAGGGGAGCAGCGCCAGGGATGGCTCGGCAGGGAAGGAGGAGTCGGAGGGACGGCAACTGCCCCGGTGCAGCACCTGTGGGAAGAGCTTCCAGGACGTGGAGTCGCTGAAGGAGCATCAGGCACTGCACAGCGCAGAACGAGGGCATCCGGAGGGGTCCGAAGCTCCCGGGCAGGATGCCGAGGCCAAGCTGCTGGTTGTGAAGGTGGAAGAGATGTGGTAGCCCGTGCGGGGAGGCCAGGAGGGTGCAAGGCCGGAGGGGTTTGGAGATAGGCTGCAGCCCGTGCTGACTCGGACCCTGTGTTGGCTGAGCCCCCGAGGGGGTTGAATGCCCAGCTGGCAGGCTTCATTCACTGGCGATGCTCAGCAGGGCGGGTGCGTCTGTAAACAGGAAGCCCAGCAGCAAGGCTAGGAGGGCGTCGAGTGAGCCCACCTCTGCTGGGGAGAGGATACCCCTGGGAGGCAGGTGGGACGGTGGGTGAAGAGCACATTGTACGGGAGACGCTTGACCATGCCTGGCTTGGCGAGACTGCATCTCAGCTGCACAAGGTATATACTGACATCTTCAGCGCGGTCCCCAGCAGAGGCATGGCAGGTCTAGGCTGCTTCTGTGGCTGACAGCCCCGAGCCCGGGCGATCTGCGCAGGGCACCTGAGCTGAGCTGTTCCTTTGGGTAGGGCCCGTGTGCGTGTGCGTATGCGTATGCATGTGTACGTGGCCTGGTTTTGCTGTTTTTTATCACGTGGCATACAGATCTGAACACGACTTCTCACACCTAACGGGAACACGATGGTCTTGGAGCGAGGAGGCAGCTGCCCACGCTCCAAGCCCTGTGGGACTGTAATTAGCATTGTGCCGTGCTAATTGAAGGCTGACAGGGCACCCTGAATGAACACACTGGCTAGGAACACGTGACTTGGCAGCACAGCGAGTGTGCCCGTGCCCAGGTACCCTGCTCCAGGGCACTATAAATACTCATAATGAATACATCTCACCGCTAACAGACACCAGTGGGACGTGCAAAGTGGGATGAAAGCTGCTGCTACGTGTTGCTTCCAGTTGCTCACACATGTCACTTGCCCCCCTTGCTTTGGTTCCCTCCCCGACTCATTTTTAATGTCATGACAGTAATTGGGAGAAGGCAGATTTGCCTTTTCCCTGCAGTTAGGATGTTGCCAACTGCAGTGGTTGTATTAAGAGTCGTGAGCTACTGGTTGGTTTTCAGCCCACAGGACTCATGCCAGGTGACTTTTCCCCTGACTCTGATCTTGTGTCCTCACTGTTGTGCCACTGGTATAGGGTACACGTTAGAGGAGACAATGCTTTCCTGCCTGGTTTCCCTTGAAGCAGGTCTCTGCTTGTGCCCAGTTTCACTCTCCAGGACTTCCTTTCTGCCGCAGCTCCATGTGCCTCTGGTGCTGACCCCATCCTCTGAATGATGGTGTTTGTCTGACACGGGTGCGCGTTGCTTGGATTTTTAAATGATCTTGTGATGAATAAAAAGCAATAAAAGCGAAGGTCCAGAACGAGGCGTTCGGCTGCTTCGGATGGTAAAATCGGTCGCTGCAAAACACCCACCGATGCCAGTGCTGCGAAATCGCAGGGCCTGCTGATGACGCTGGGATCGGTGCGGTGAAGCGAAATGCCGGCACATCGCAGCAAGGCCAGGGCTTTGCTCTGGAGGAGGGGAGACGAACCAGGAGCTTTGTGGTTGTTTTTTTAAATGGGGAGGCTTCTCCTGCCTCTAGCGCAGAGGTGCTGGGAGGTGGTGAGTGGGGTGGAGCTAGGGCTGGATGCCGAGTGCGGACATGCTCCCCATGCATCACCCCTGTAGGGACTGAAGGGCGGGCTGCCTCTCCTTCCCTCTCTGGGTCCATGGCAGCCTGTGGGAAAGTTGCCCCTGCCTGTCTAGCAAGAACAGCCCCAGCTCATTTCACCTGAGAGGCCTGCAGGCCTTCATCCACCGCTACAGCCTCACCCGCGGCTCCCGTGTCTGCAGGAGGAGCAGGGCCCTTTCAGCTGCAGTCCAGGGGAAGCACTTCTAGGGAAACCTCCAGCTGATGGGGGCCAGCCTCTCCGTGCTGGGGGTAAGGCCCCGCTGGGGGCTGCAGCTGCAGCATCGGCTCCAAGGAGCTTAGGGCTGCCCGTCCAGGGTGATCACAGCACGGCGTGAAGCTCCCTGCCCTCAGGCTCTCCTGCACCCCAGGTGGTTGTAACCCGCTGGGGGACGTGGATGGGAGTGCCCCCCCGGCTCAGGTACGGTTACAACGTGGGGCACGAGGCGCCATATGTAAGCGCTGTCATCGATTCATAGATGCTAGGGTCGGAAGGGACCTCAATAGATCATCGAGTGCGACCCCCTGCACAGGCAG